TAAGTACCTCTGCAAAGAACTCCCAGGGCAAGTATGTAGATCACTTAAATTTTTGTAATAAATTTAGATTTCCATTTACTTAGGACTGTCACTCCTGGGAAAACTTACATTTTTAACTCCAAAGCATTTCTAACTCTTAAAGGCTTTAAGGAGAAAAATCAACAACCATGGAAGTATCCTACAATTGTCCTGTTTTAGTGAAAGAACAACTAAAGCCGTAAACTAAAACCAGTGTTATAAGTGGTCTCATGATTTCCGAACCAACTTAGATGAGTGTTAAGCATAAAGAACATGGCCTGGTGAACAGCCACACTGTAAGAAAGTAAACAAAGCAGCAATGTCTCAGTTCAAAATACAAATTCCAAAACTAGCTTAACTCAGAGTTCATAAAAAGCTCAAAACAGCAGAGGCACACAGGTACTAACAGGGAGGAAGGGAGACTGGAAACAAAAATGGCAGTAGGTCTCTGGACCATCTTGAGTTTTTCCTCTTGCATATAAAACTCTTGGATTAAGAAAAACATCATGAACAATGAAACAATACAGAAACAGGAAACAAGACTCTAAACCCTATCTATGAGAACAAACAAAAAGTAACCAACCAAAAAACCAAAATCTTAATAAGAGCAGGTAAAAGGGTAAATAGCAAAATAAGCAATTTGAGGACAATTAAGTATTTCACAAAAGAAAATTACTAGTTACACATTCATCACATTATAACATTTGCCTACAAAGACTGGAAGTAAATTCATGAAATTATGGAGTACAAGTAATTTATATTTTCCTCATTTTGCTTTTCCAAATTTTCTCCAGAGAATAGATATTACTCTTTTAGGAAGTTCTTTTAGAAAGGGTAAAAAGCAAATGTCTTTCCTAAAGGCGCTAGAAAGCTGTAGTTCAAGAGTTCAAAGGAGGGAACTGTTTTGGTGGTGAGGAAACTACATTTGCAAAATTTACCAAATGCTTATGTGCCAGGGGCTGTGCCAAGAAGCTTCGATTCACTATGGTTCTTAATCTGGAAAATAATAACATGAAGTAGGTAAGTAGTAGTGCCTTCCCCATTAGATAAGAAAATGGCTAGTTTGAAAGTTTCAACCAACGACCAAAATCACTTCACTAGTAAATGGTGAACTGGGATTAAAAGGCAGTCTCAAATGTCACAGCTCTTTTAGAATTTGTTTAGCAGGTTTTCTGGTCCACATGGGAATCCTGCCCCATCCAAAAATAAAGGCAGTCTGTAAACAGAGCCCCTGTTCTGAACAGCACTACCAGTGTTTCCCACACATGTTAGGATCACCTTGAGCACTAGTTAGAAAAACATACTCCCCTACACCTTCTATCAGAGGTCCTGGAAATCTGTATATCTCATAGGCACCCCAGTAATTCTCACCAGCTGTAAGGTGGAAAACCCACCCACCCTCTACTGCCCCGCAAACTTTTTGTTAAGATGAACATACAAATTGGCCTTTCTTGCTAGGATGAACTTCTTAAATGCCAGATGCTGCATTCTCCAAAACACAAAAGAAAACCAAGACAGTCTATTGGTTGAAGCCACTCTTGGGTTTCCACAGACAGAAAACAACCACTTTATAACATGAAGCAGGAGATTAAACTTTCGTGTTGAGGCTGCCATAGTTCCTGAATTCCTACAACCTCCACAATTGCTCTGAGAGTCACTGGCAACTTATTTTCCCCAACCATGAACTCAGTGGCTGGGGAAAGGAGAAAGGAGCAGGAGATGAGTTCAGTGACTGCCCTACTCTGTTGATCTCATTTTTGAAAATAAGAGAAAATGAGATACTGAGTTTCATATTAAAACAGGTTATCAATGATGTGATATAGTGCATACATATCTACAGGCAATGGCGAGGTCCACCACAAACCGGAGAATGCAAATTCCTCCTAAACGCAAATACTTTTTAAAACTCTGCATGCCAAACAAAACCTATCTATGGGTTGAATCTGACCTTCTGACTATAGTCTGCAATGCTTGTGGGCCCAAATTCTTCATACCTCAGTTTCTTTTTCAATAAATATATATCATTTATTATATAAAACAGGTAGGTATATATTTCATGGAGGGGACAAATATTGAATTTAAATCTCTTACTAATCAATTATACTTCAATAAGGCTGAAGAAAAAACAAACTTCTGATGATAAATGAGTTGGTATCTGTCAAGTGGGTTCTCTGAAAAATGAAACTCGGGATTGGAAATAACCTAGTGATTGAAATACTCAGCCAGGTAAAACACGGAATTTACTTGCACTTCATCAGTATGCATATTGAAATTAGGAATGATATCAGACCCCTAGCGGACAAATCACAACCTTCCTTCTATTCCAACACAGCTGAGAGATATGCCACACTCTCCCCAGTCACTGTGGTTTCCCAACATAGTGATGCTTGGGGCAGAAGGAGAGGGGGGCCCGTGACAGGTGTTAAGAATTGCTGATTTAGAACATAAGGACAGTATGTCGGCCCAAGCTGTGCTTGCTCTCATGCCAATTGCTTGCCATATGAACTATAAACACATTCCATTTATATGGATGACGTGTAATAGGACAATACACAGAATTCCCTGCTTGAGCTTTTTCAGCCTGTCACTTCACTGGCCCTGCCAAGTCCTTGCCCCAGGCCTGAGCAGAAACAGTTCACTTCTTAGTTTGGACAAGCCATAGAGATAAAATAGTGGAGCACAGTGAAGATAAAAGTAAGTTTTTAAAGATCAAGTATTCGAGTTGAAGTGGAAAAACTTCTTTATCTTTTATTCAAATCACTGCAGCACAGAAAAAACTTACGATTGCTTTGATATTAAGAAATAACTAGATTAACACAAGAAGTGTTCTAGAAGGGTATGCATTAAGAGGACCATATATTTTATCCGGAAGACCCTGGACTCTTTCTATTTTTGTAAGCAACCTCTAAAGTAAGAGTTAAGGAACCGATCAATTTCATTGTTGAGAGAAATAAGCTTCCACAAGCAGATTCTAGATGTCCTTGAAACAGGTTTTATGATGCTCCTGAATGCTGTATCAACCAGAACTATGGATCAAAAATTTTAAATTTATATTCACTAAAATAGTAGGTACAGCATAATCCTATTTTTAATTTTTATAATCCTATTTTTTGAATGTGCATGTATATGTTTTATATATAAATGTATGTGTGTACATATACAGTGTATATATGGGGGGAGGAGAGGAAAAGATTCAAAATCTTAAGAGTGGAGAAATTATGGTTGATTTTTACCTTCTTTATTTCCCAAGTTGTGTACAATAAGCAAAAACTGCCTTTAAATCAGGGGGAAGGTTGGATATAATATCATGAGAAGATTATTTAAAATATAACTTTAGGCAAATAAAGCAGGCTACAAAACAAAAAATATTTCCACTACTTTAAAAATCCCTCAAAATCACCATTTTAAAAATTTGTTGCATGATATTTCCACATCAAGTTATTCTCTAGTGAAGACTAACTGGCAAAGATAAGCCATGCTTCTTGGGGAAGAAGTCAGATGAAACATGTAGCTTTGCTTTTCTCTCATTGAATGAATCTCAACTTATCCATGCTGAGAACAGATGGCAGAAGAAACTGGCACAGAATTCAGCTGTGGCAGTACCAACATGGTGGTCAGCAGGAAACACATTATTCTTAATTTTAACCATTTCCTAGAAACAGTGCCTGGAGTGTTACGGAGTAAAACAGGATGTGCACGTGGAGGAGGATTTTATTTCTGGCAAGGTCTGAGGGCAAAGGAGAAAAACAAATTGACTAAAGAAACCTACTTAATTCTAGAAAAGCAATAATGTTGGGAATACCTTAAGTAATTTTATATTTCTGAAAATTTTTATATTTGAGGGGAAAGGCTATTGGTAATAAAAATACAGCAATTTTTATTTTGGTATCAAATGTCTTTTTAGACTGAAAACCCAAAATAAACATGCCATTCTCATAACATGCTGAAGTGAGGAAGGTAATAATCATTTCTGAGAAAACAGCATATGTTACTGGAAAAATTATTATTTTGTGTAACTTTTCTTGTTTTGATTTCACTGATTTCGGGGGCAATACTGTCATATTCTCCCAAGCTTCTAAGCAGTCTAAAGCAAATTCCAGACTTTGCTTCTTAAAGGTTTAAAGTTTCTATTTTGTTTTTCTTTATTAGAGATATGAAGCCAATGAAGTAAAAGAGGTCCTCCCCAATCTCTCAGTATATTTTTATCTAATAAACTCTATGCTTTAGTGTTCTCAGATGAACTCATTTTCCTAGGCTTCAAAAGAATCACACATCTTTACAGTGTCCCTCAAGTGAATAAGACTTTATTTCATCATAAGAAAAAAATCCAATTTAAAAAGCTTAAGGCTGTCAGCAAGACACAACCTCAATTTTTACTGTCCACATGTAATCAGCTCTGATTTATGATGCCAATACTTTGGACCACACATCACACCACACTTTGCTCTCCTTTCTGCTGAGAGGGCTAGGTCACCTCTTTGGGCTAACATGGCGAGCTCGGTCAACTGGAACCAAATACTAAGTTGTGGTTCAATCTACATTAAGGGCCTTTTACTCTCCCTAAGGAAGAATAAATCCACTGGAGTGTGAGCGGCAGCATAAACCATCAGCTTCATTCATCTGCCACCTCGTTTCCTATTCAGTTTGGGTAAGGGTTGATTTCCTATACCTTGCTGGTCTGAATGATCTGAATCCATCTTTCTGTAGACATTATCAGGTAGCTGATCCCGGCACAGCCCTCTTGCCTCGCTTTATTAGTGTTTACAAAGAATTCAAATCTCTTTGTTTCCAAAGTAAATCCAGCTTAGTGTGAGAAAGGAGGTCCCCAGTGCACAAGGGGCCACAGCTCATTGTCAGCTCTGACACACTATCGCCTCTCACCAAATGTGCCACGGTCGGGTCTGTTTAGTGTCTGCCAGGATGCAGATAAGGGCACACAGCTGGCCCTCCTCCTGCTATCTCAGACTGTGGCTCCCAACACCATAGAGCTCTCCTCTAGGGAACCAATTTGTAGAATCTTGTCATAGTAAAAAACCAAGTGAGTGGCTTAGGAAAGAGGACTATAGCAGGTACCTCAACAAAGACAACTCTGGAGATTTCTAGATCTATCAACTATTCATACTGGCTAGATAGATATAAATAAATCTCACACTTTAATAAATAGAAATTTCTAGAGAAGGGGGTAAAAGTGAGAGTTTTTAATTTGGTGTTTAGTTGGGTTTTTTTCCTATGAAAGCTACAGATAAATCATGGAAGATCGTAACAGAGTATGTTTACGTATTTTTAATGCTGCATTGCCTGACAAATTGTGCCAATGCTCAAGGAAGATTTCATTACCAAGGTCGTCTTATGTACTTACTTGGTAACATGGCTTAACTGAGAAAACACTGCTTAGTGTAAGAGGCAAAACTGCTAATCCAAGGCGTGTCAGTCATTAATCTTCCTGTTCCTCAGTTTCCTAGTCTTTAAAACAAAAACATAGTGGCCCATCCCAAGCTACCTCTCAGAAATGTGACTAAATAAGGTCCATAACTAATATGCCAGTTCCCTCTCATCTATTGGTGCTTTAGTTCAATTTAACAAATATTCAGCAAACACAGCACACTGTGGGTAGTTAAGTAGGGTAAGAGGCTCTGGTTTACAAACATTCATGCAGTTATGGGGAAATCGAGAACTTTTCCCATTAAGGTTTTTTGTTTTTTTGTTTTACAGAATGCCCAGCTCTTAAAACATATCAGGAAACTTAAAATATGTCATAGTTTGAATATGACTTGGAAACAAAACCATCAATAAACATAAGACATCCATTTAGTTTGGGCCATATTAGGCCCCTGCAAAGTAGAAACATGGAAAAAAGAAAAAGAATAACCCCAAATAAGATCACTGGACAGAACCCTTGCTAGCCTAGGAATAGGGAGCTAGCAGTCCTATGCAAAAGCCTCAGAATAGGAGGGCTGGAACAGAGACAGCCAAAGAAATAACTTACTATGTTAGATGAATGAACTACTGTCACTGAGCATTAGCTTACATAAAAAAGGGGAAATTTGTAAGTAAAGTTTTGAGGGTAGATTTTACTTTGTGGAGTTGCTGAGGGTTGCTGTTTTCCTTTTTTGACGGTACAGAGGTATACAGGTTCCATATGCACAGAAACTACACCTTATGGTAAGGCTGTATTCAAGCCGGTCTTTGACATCTTGA